AATAAACAGTGGGGTACCACAAGGCTCCATCTTAGGGCCAGTACTCTTCAATATCTTCATAAACGACTTGGATGAATAGAAGAGGAACTTAACAAATTTGAAGATACTAAGCTGGCAGGAATAGCTATTACCCTAGAAGATAGGCTCAAGATCCAAATCTATCTTGACAGACTTGAACACTGGGCCCTATCTAACAAAATGAAATTCAACGTAGAGAGGACCAAGGGAGACATGATAGCAGTCTTCCAATACTTGAGGAGCTGCCAAAGAGAGGAGGGGGTTAAGCTATTTTCCAAGGCACCTGAAGGCCAAACAATAATGGTTGGAAACTGAACAAGGAAAGATTCAACTTAGAAATAAGGAGAAATTTTCTGACAGTGAGAACACTCAACCAATGGAACAGAAGTTGCCTTCAGAAGTTGTGGGAGCTTCATCACTGGAGTCTTTCAAGAAGAGATTGGACCGCCATTTGTCAGAAATGGTGTAGGGTCTCCTGCTTGGGTAGGGGGTTGGACTAAATGACCTACAAGGTCCCTTCCAACTCTGTTAATCTAATCTAAATGTATATACAGTTTGGCATATAACGTGTTGGTTAAGTACAAAACAATATATGATGTGTCTGAATTGAATGGGGAAATGGGGGCAGCTGCTGTTTTTTAATTCCTGCATAAGCCTGATCTCTTATCAGTTTTGCACATTCCTATTTTGCCTTCACCATCTTTGAGTTGCTTAAAAAAGTCTATGGAACAAGCTTGAGGAGTGGGAGGCTTGTTCCAAGGAGCATAAATTGACAAGTGCTTGCACTTATTAACTCCTACTTGAATGTTCCTGGACATCTTATAAGCAATTCTAGAAGGAAGTAATCAACTTTTAACTTGGTCATGGTTACATGATGGTTATCTTGCATGCTGCCTCTTTTTTTGATTACATCCTTGGACATTCTGTTTTTGTTTTTGCTATTTACGAGGCCATGAATATGAAAACCATAGTCTGCTCTAATTTCTCCTGAGGTTTTTATAGTCCAAATCATGTTTTTTTTCTTTTTCCCTTCTTCCCAGCCCAGTTTTATTCTGGCCCTTGGATATGTAGTGACTTTATGTTTGTGACAGTCTTTTCTAGTTTTGTAGCAATTAAAGAATTTTCTTGTTCGGTAGAAAAGCAGAGGTAAACCAGGGTTTAAGGTACAGGTGATATCATAGCGTACAGGTGATGTTAGACTAATGGAGCATCTGCTTTGCCAGAAGCAAGCATTGGCGCTTTGCTTCTATGCCATTGAAATGTGGCATATGATTGGATTTGTTTGTTTAGCAAAAACATAGCTTTTCACTTGCTGCAGCTTTTTCTTCTCGACTCGGAGAGATTGACTAATGGCATGTATTTATTTGTTGCATTTGTCTGCTGCCTCATCTAGTTTTTCTCAGCAGCTTACATCACAAAGTAGCAATGCTGTGCTTTTTCAGATCAGGAACAGAGAGCTGGTAAATATTGGCTCCGCCTAGAGAGACCTTTCAGTAAAATGTGGGAAGGTATGAGAAGTTTGCTCCCAAGTTCACAAACTTGGAAGCAGTGTACAAGCTCTGGGAAGGATAGCTTGTGAGATTGGGTAGGTCCGAAGACTGAAAATGAAAATAATTTGCACACACAGGCTTAAAACATTCAGTGGAGCTGGTGTGTGTGTGTGTGTGTGTGTAGGTATGTGTGTAGCTGATATATAAAGATGAACACAAACATTATTGTGAGATGGGTGGTATATATATTTAATCAGTATGGTTGCCAGGTTAAATACAATTTTAAAGGGATTAGATTGAGCAGAGAATGGTGTTCCTAATTCCCAAAACACCCTCTTCAGTAGCTCAATTTCAGTATGTTGAGTATAACATTCACCTACAGTGAATATTAATGACAGCATGTGATCTCATCAAACTGTGTCAGTTCTGCTGCTTGGACCTCCATGTTTTATGGTGCAATTTGGGATTAAATCCTGTGATGCTTGATCAATGCACTTGATAATAGTTTCACTGTCTGGTTTTTGCTGCTTTGACTCAGCAATTCAACTCCTGCTTTGGGACATGCGAATTTCTACAATTACTCAGCAGAGATTTATTGTTAAATAGGAAGCGGAATGAGATATTCAGAGCAAAGAGAAAAAAATATGTGACTAAACTTTATTCTCTAGCTTGTCAAATTTAGCTGTGGTTGCTGGCATATTAAATGTATTTAGATAGTCCTGGAAAGCAGCTAAAGCTCTAAGCAGCCTCTGGTTCCCTGTTGACCTCTGAACTAGAAATTCAGCCATACATTGTTCCAAGCTATGGTTATTTCAGATTCTTGCTGAGGCATAAACCATGGTTTACAGTGGCTGAGTTCACACATTTTATTAGATTACGTTGTTATGGTTTGATGATTGTGAAGATTTGAAACTGAGACTTAATAAAAAGAAAAGGATAAATATCTGGGTTTCATTGCTAAAGGTGTTTGATCCTTTGATTTATTGAATGATTGAGCTTTGCCAATTCATTTTTATGGCAATTTACCAGGATTAGTTTTGCAGTTATCCCAAGTAAAGCCACATAACTATCTGATTATTTATTGCTAGTTCATTTTGTTGTGTTCTGTAGTCTGGCTTTGCAATGAAGTCACAAATCACTACTTGTGACATACCTTGTTGCCATGGAAAAGCAGTGCCATTGTTGTGTATCTTTGTTATGACATCATTAATCAGGACAGATCATGAGAGATCGAAAAAAACTCCAGATTAAAGGCTGGCTGAAAGTTATTGAGAGTCTAGCATCAGATAAACAGGTGTTGACTCTCTGTGCATTATGGATGCTTTTTTTGTCAGTTTTCAGTTTAATTTTGAAGTCTTTCAGTTTTTCCTGACAGTTTTTTAAATATGGTGTCCCCTGAAATTTGATAACTGTTTACCAATACACATTTTGGGGCACCTTTTGGACATTCCCAGTGGGAACCAAGCTTCTAAAATAGGAAATCGGTGGTCTCCAAATATTGCTACCTCTCAGTGGGGTCTCCAGGAGAATTTGGAAGGCCCATCGATGCTCCTTTGAAAAGCAAATTGTGCTTTTGAGTGATAATAGTGAAGCCTTAGTTAAATCTTACATCAAGCCAATGCTCAACTAAGTCTAGCATTTTGTATTGTAACCATTGTCTCTGTAGTGCCTGTAGGCAGGAGATAGATATGATGCTCTCTTGCCATTGTCCAGTGGGTATCAATATTTGTATTTGGTATTTATAAGGAGTCCTCTGCAACCGCTTGTCAATCAGACCCTTGCCCTCTTGGCTGGTAAAAGCCTCCAGGGCGGTGAGCAGCAGGTGGGTTCATGCTGTGCAAGCGGAACCATTCCTGGGATCTTTTAAGGAGGTTTGATCTCTCCTTGAAAACCATCATTCAACCCCACCTGCCTGAACAACTTTGGGCCAGTCTACCATCTTTTCTTTTTTGGGTCTCTTTCAGTCAGGATTCAGGGCTGGCTGTGGGATGGAGCCTTGATAGCACTCCTGGATGATGCCTGGTGGGAGTGGGGTGAGGGCAGAGTCACCATTCTCGCCCTCTTTGATGCCTCCGTGGCTTCAGTAGCATTGACCATGGTTTTCTAGATACGGAATGCAAGAGAGGGCGGCTGAGAGGCACAGACTTTCTCTGACTCGCCTCCTTCCTCCGAGGCTGGTCCCAATCAGGATTGATAAGGAGTGAAAGATCCAGCCCAGGCCTGACTGCTTCCTGGCAGGGTCCCTCAGGGCTCAGAACTATCTAACATCTACCATTTGATATGCTGGTAAATGTACCCAGCTCTAGGTCTCTGTCCTGGGTGAAGTGAGTGATGCAGTGGGCACCCTTTTGCGGTACTGGAAGGCTGTGGGGGCTTGGATGGGGATGACAGACAGACTGAATCCTGGCAAGACTGAGTGGCTTTGGGTGCCTGGAGCCTCGGGATCCAAGTGTCACCCTTAGTTCAGGGTGGGTTCTCCCCCCTCCCCATCAGACCCAATTTGCAACCTAGGGGTTCTCCTGGACTCGCTGTCAGGCATGGCCCGGAGGGCTTTTGCACAGCTGCAACCTTTCCTGCATCAGGACTCCCTGCGCTCAGTTACTCAAGCCTTGGTCATCCCTCCTCTGGACTGCTCCAGTGGGCTCTACATGGCGCAACCCTCGAAGTCCGTTGGGGAGCTCCAGCCAGTGCAAAGGGCGGCAGTGAGCACAACCTTTGGGGCCCCTAGGATGGCCATCTCCCACCTCTGCTCCATGAACCCCACTGGCTCCCGGTCTGCTTCCAGGGGCAGTTCAGGCTGTGGCTTCTGACCTTTCAAGCCCTCAAGGGCAGAATCAGTCCAGGCAGCCTGATGAACCACCTCAGCCCCTCAAATATTGGAAGACTGCTATTCTGTCACCCCTAGGCCTCTTTCCACTAGGCTAGACAGACCTATGCTCAGTTCCTGCAACCATGATTTATATGTTTTAGCTTCCAGGCCCTTCAGCGTCTTAAGTGCTCTTTGCACTCTCAACATCTTTTTTTATATTGCGGCGACCAAAACTGGATGCAGTATTCCAAGTGTGGCCTTTCCAAGCGGTACTAACCCTTGACGTGATCTTGATTCTATCCCTCTGTTGATGCAGCCTAGGATTACTTCGGCTTTTTTGATGGTTGCCGCACACAGCTGACTCATTTTTAAGTGACTGTCCACTAAGACTCCAAGATCCCTCTCGCAGTTGCTGCTATTGAGCCACGTTTTACCTAATCACATTTGTACAGATTAATTAAAAAGGCCCTGTAAAACTGAAAAATGTTGAAGGGTTTTAAGGTAAAGGCCAAGGATTTTTTCAGATCAATTCAGTGGAGTGACTAATTGCAGAATCTGAACAGGCCTCCAGATGATGGCATCCTTTGGTATCCTCCTGCCCCAGGGCATGATGCAAGCAAGTAGCCTATTTTCTATTGATAATGCAAAAAAGATGGCATCTTTTTTTTTCTTCTGGCCTGCAGAAACCATGGCGAGCCCAGCAAAAGAGAACAATTACAGAATGAAAAGTTACAAAAACAAAGCTTTGAACCCAGAGGAGATGCGCCGGAGGAGAGAAGAGGAGGGGATCCAGCTACGCAAACAGAAACGGGAGCAGCAGGTAAGGAATCCACTCAATCAAAAGTGGAGTGAATTAGAAGTATTGTTTAATTTTGGGTTTATCTGATACTTGGGAGTCAGTACTTTGAAGAATAGCAAAACAGATAATAACAGAGGAACAGCGTTGGAAGGGGCCATTGAGGTCTTCTAGTCCTGCTCAATCAGGTGTCCCTATATACCATTTGATTTCTGGTGCTGTGTTGTAACAGAAAATGGGAGAAGGCAATCAGAGAATCGTGCTAATAATAGAATTACGCTAAGATTATTTATGGTTTTTGGTGTTATAAAATGAGGTTAAGAAAGCAATAAAAATGCAAACAAATTAAGTCCAGTGAAATTATTTAAATATTCTTTAAATTACAAGCAGCTGTAACAGCAATACAGATAGTTCTTGACTTATGACAATAATGAAACCTGCCCATTGCGATCATAAATTGTGATGGCCATAAGATGGGACATTGTGTGACCAGATCTAATTTTACAACCTTTTTTTGCATCAGTTGGTAGATAAATGTTGTGGTTATTAAGTGAAACCCATTGTTCTCTATGGGGCACTTTTGCAAAAGCACAAATCACAAGTCACATAAATGTCAGATGCTTCAAATGGCCATCAATCAGGCTGGTTGCTGAGCAACCAAATGTGTTCCTGTGACAACTGGGGATGCAGCTGTCGGAACTGGGCTATACAGTCAGTACCTTTTGGATGTCCATAGTATCTTCAAATGATCATTAAGCACCCAGCCAGTCATAAGTCGAGAACTACTTGTATTGTAGGGTGGGTTGAAGGATCTGCCAGTAAATTGCTATCTCAGAATATAAACCAGGGTCAATTTCTAATTCCCGGCACTGGAATTCCTGTCATCCCACTTGCTCAGGTAGTGAGAAAAATATGTGTCTGCTTGGTAACGAAACTGAAAGATTGCATTGTGGATGACAAAAAGATTAATGGGAGCAGTTCTGGGCTGAGCAGCTGTTCAGAGGAACCTCATGACTTAACTCTAAAGTGCAAGCTTTATCTTATGTCACATTCTGGTTGATCTTTAGAAAAGGAAGAAAGGTCTGCTGACACTTGGTGCAAGACAGTAGTATTTCCTGTTAGGCTCTTTGCTCTTAAAACACACACACTCTGTGTATGAATTTAATATAAATTTTATGTCACTTACATGCAGCTGGCAGTTGAAGGGGTAAGAACTATTTAGAGTAATGAAGCCATGAGAAGGGTTTGGAGTGATTGGTAATAGGGTGATAGGGATCTACATTTGTAGATTGTGAGTGCCAGGTCAGACTAAGTTTTGCCCTTGTGCGACCTTGCAATAGTACTAAAGAATAAGAATAATCACATCAAACTACTTTTCAGTTAAGCCACCTATAGAAGCCCTTACTTGCAGAACGGCAATTAGGAGCTGCTTGATGAAACATCAAAAGGCAGGATGGTTACCAATGTTGGGTTACAACACTGAAGTGCAGAGGAGCCGTTCAGCAATCTGCGGGTGACCACTCGGAATCAGGGTTTGGTTTGTTCCCCTATGACCACTCATTTTCCATTGCAGCTCTTTAAAAGGAGAAATGTGGAGCTAATTAATGAAGATGCTGCTATGTTTGACAGTCCCCTGGTAGATTCCTTGGTCAGCTCTACAATTGGTAGTGTAAGTAGAGATATATCATGTTTCCTTCTTACTTCTCTCTCTTGTTCAATATCCGTAAGACATCTATATAATACTAAAAATCGTCCATGCACTTTGTAAATGTTTTCTGCCCCAGAAGATAAGGAAATCAACCTGCCAATTTCATTTTGAGTATTGGCAATCAGCTTCGAGCTAGAAAAGGGGATTTATCAGCTACCCCTGCAGGACCTCAGGTTCTCCATCCCTGGGCTAGGTGACCCATTTTATCTGCTTTGGTACAATACACCTTATTCTATCTCTGAGAAGGAAAAGAATTTCCTGGGATTTAAATGTCTTTCCTCTTAACTCTAGCCTGGAATCTTCTTGAAAATTGAAATAGTCCTGAATTAAATCTAAAGTTTGAGAATTGTTATGAAAGGTGGGCATTAACTTTGGTGATGGATTAACTCTGCTCTTTTCAGGAGGGTGTGATCACAATGGAGATGGTGAAAATGTTGTTCTCTGAAGATCCTGATCTTCAGTTACTAACTACCCAGCGATTCAGGAAGCTACTTTCAAAAGGTACATTCAATTGTAACTCTTTTTAAGAAGAGTTGGTGAGATTAACTTAGTGTTTCTGTTAGGTCCTCAAGATATATTTGTTGTTCAAATACTTTGCCAAAAATATCTGAAAATTTTCTTTAGGTGAGTAGACTGAACACATGAAATCTAACAGCAGGAGCCGACTATCTGAGCTGCTCATTTTTAATTGTACTGAATTACAAATCAATTTTTAAATGCCTTAAATTTCAGCAGTTAAGTTTTGACGTGCCCAGTAGTGTGTAAGGAACATACCTAGCTAAACACGGATAAAATGCAAGCATACATTGTGTTATACAGAATCACAGCCTCAACTGGGCAGACAGTTAGATGGAGAGATCATCACCGCCATGCTGGCGATGGCATGTCTGCAAAGGGTTATGTGCAAGCTGGGATTGTGATATTCATCCCCTCACTCCCAAACGATAGGCAAGCCTTACCCAATGCTTTTTGATATCTATTTAATTTTGTTCCCATCCTTCAGTTTCTTTTTAAATTTTATTTTAGAGCCCAATCCTCCAATCGATGAGGTGATAAGTACTCAGGGAGTTGTGGACAGGTTTGTTGAGTTCCTCAAGAGAAGTGAAAACAGCACACTACAGGTAAGAGGAGGGCCAGCTGTTTCTTGGAGATCTTAATCAACTTTACAGCTTGCACTGTCTTTGTCCTGCTTATGTCGGTGGTCGTGATTCAATTGACCAAAGACATCTCACTAAAAAACAATACCAAAAATAGAGACGTACGGCTATAATGTTTAATAAAATTACTATTAAAAATTTTAAACCATTGTTGTATGGCTATTTCAAAGTCTGCAAGTTTGACTTTGAAGCCATAATCCACTGTTGCTTTAAGCATAGGAATATTTCGTTATTAGTTCTTTATCCCTGAATAAGTATAGGCTATCAGCCCTTCAAAGACATGTACATTATTAATCATGCTTTAATATGACGACGTATAAAGACCCTTCCTGAGGGGCAGTTTATAGTTGAAAACCGGACACCAGTTATTCCACCGACTCCGGAGTGTCTTTCTCTTGCCTTCATGGTCTTTTTGGCCTCCTTCCAGCTTTTCTCCTTGGATTTGGTCTTGTGAGTGGTGGCAAACAGGCAGCCGCTCCTCAGTTGTGCCTCTGCCTTTGATTTCCATGCTTGGGTGGGGGAAGTTCATTGTGAGCAGCATCGCTGAAGAAAGAACTGTCACTCAAAGAGACTGTTGCCATCCTTCCACAGGTGCAGTGTCAGTGAAATAGTGAAGTGGTCTGAATTATTTTGCCTTGCGGAAGGCTCACCCCCCCCCCACCCCCCCCCCCCCCCCTCCCTCCCTCTCTCTCTCTCTCTCTCTCTCTCTTCCCTCCTCTGGATTCAATGGGGTTTAAGAAATCCCCCCACACAAATGGGAACTCCGGTTTAATCTGTTGAGGTTCAATCCCCAAACAACTTTTTTCTCATTGATTGTGGGTCTCCACTGGAGTTAGTCATTCACTGGCTGCTTTTCTTCCAGTTTGAAGCTGCGTGGGCATTGACCAACATCGCCTCAGGTAATTCACTACAAACTAAGATAGTGATTGAGGCCGGGGCAGTCCCGATCTTCATCGAATTGCTGAGTGCTGATTTTGAAGATGTCCAAGAGCAGGTGAGATTCAGGCATGGGCTACCGATTTCATGGCAGCTCTTGAGCTCTTGTTCATTCTCTCTCAACCATTTCTGCAGCAGAATAGCCAGCTCCAGTTGTGAACAAAACATGATCAACGGTGTCCTATAAAGGGCAGCAGCTTCCCAGTTTAAAAATTATTGAAATGGCTGATTCTCACAAGATTTTTTAAAATTTGTTTGTTTTGAGTAGGGAGGTGACGGGAGCTTGGAAATGTTTTTAACTGATCTTTGCATTGCTTGTCTATGCCTTCAACTATCCCACCACGTTGTAGGTTTACAGTTGTATTGAAGTTGTTAGTGCTCCATCACTGGAGACTCTTAAGAAGAGACTGGACAGCCATTTGTGTCTGAAATGGTGCAGGAACTTCTGCTTGAGCAGGGGGTTGGACTAGAAGACCTCCAAGGTCCCTTCCAGCTCTGTTATTCTATGTTCCATGGTCTAATTATGATGTAATTACATCACACTGATTACTTGCCTTTCCCCTGGAAGGCAGCATACATTGGGGTAGAGGTCCTTCACTCAGTTTATTCTCAGAACAATCCTATGAGGTAGGATGGCCCAACTGGCTCTCTTATCCCCCTGGATTTCAGTGTCTAACCTTCAGGCTCTACTGCTGTTGTGATGTCACAGATGTGTCATACTGCCTAGGGTAAGGCAAGCTGCTTTGTATGGCATGAGAGCTGGGCCATGTGGCAAGAAAGAAACACAGACCCCTAATAGTTATTGGAAGGCTTGGGTTAGAGAATGGGATGAAATAGTCAGATACGGGGTAGTAGCTGTCTAAAGGAGGGACACCTCCGAGGTGATGCATTGTCCAGGCTCCCTCCATGTACCGGGGCTGCTAGGTTGGGAAGGTTGCCTAGACTATCTTGCACTGCATTCACCAGAATAATAACAAACAGCATAGAAGTGGCCGAGGTCAACGATTCATTTGCAAGAACCCAACTGACTGCTTCGCTGTTGCTGTTAACGTATCCCCTTCAAGGACTGAGTCCTGAAGCCCCTGCTCTTCTTCCAGGCTGTCTGGGCACTGGGGAACATCGCTGGAGACAGCTCTGCCTGCCGTGATTATGTCCTAAATTGTGGCATCCTTCCTCCTTTGTTGTTGTGAGTAGCCACTGGGAGAAATTCCACCACTTTGTGGCTCCTTCATTTCCTTAGGCTGCAAGTGCTGAGTGGGGCAAACTTGTCCTAGAACCACAACTGATTTTCTTATTTTCCCTGAACCATCTAGCTGCTAGGACTGTTTATAGGATACATTTGCCAAGCCCTTAAATAGCTTGGTTTAAGCCCAAAGGCCGTAATGTGGACAAGCATCATTTGATTATATTTCAGGCTCCTCACAAAATCTACTAGGTTGACAATGACACGAAATGCGGTCTGGGCTTTGTCAAATCTCTGCAGAGGGAAGAACCCACCCCCAGAGTTTGAGAAGGTAAGAGCCAAAGGTCTATTACTTTATTTTCCCAGCCACAGACACTTCTTGTGTTCCACAGACTTTCTCAACCATGGCAGCTGGAAGGTGTGTGGTTTTCAACTCCTAGAATTCCCCAGCCAGCACAATTGAGAAACACTGCTTTATCTAGGCTCAGGACTAAAACTCACATCCTGCTCCTATCACTTAACTCTCCTCCTTGCGTTTAAAAGCACCCGAAGTATAGTACCTGTGAAAATAGTAAAAGGTCATTGAGTTCATTGTAACTCAAGTCCTGATAGTGCTGATTGCAGGCCGAGCATCTTACAAAGTTTAGTGTTTTAGACAAGGCAATTGGTGTGGGTAATAACTCTAAGCCAGAGTTACTGCTGTATCTAGAATATGAAACCCTCAAGGTCTACTTAGCAACCTACTCCCCCTGTAATCTCCATCTAAACTGCTTTGGGGTAAAATTGGATCGGGGTCTCTTCTACAAGATACCCTTAGAGAATACGATAGCAAAAATAAATGCTAGAAACAATATACCCCAGAAACTATGTGGAACTAAGCTTCCACCCTCGGATCATCAGCACTAGGGTGGGTCTACTCCGCAGCAGAATACTGTGCCCTTGTAGGGTTTAGCAGCTGCCATCCTAGTAAGTGAGACGCCAGACTCAACGACATCATGAGGGTTATAAGCGGATGTATTAAAACCACTCCAACTTGGTTTCCTGTTCTGAGCCACATGGCAGCGCCAGCTTTACAGAGGCCTCAATGCACAACCGAGAGAATACAGAAAAACTATGAATAACTCACTTCTACCGGTGCATTCCACCCTTCCTCATTTATCAGCAGAAGACTTAAATCCAGGAAGGCCCCACTGGCCCTTGCACAACATCTGCCCAACAACTTTGGTATTGATTCCCGATGGAAAGCCAAATGGGCCTCTGAATGCCCAGGCAGAGGAAGACATATCACTGACCCCACAAAAAAGGTGCCAGGCTTTGAACTACCATGTCAACAATGGACAATCCTGAATGGGATTTGCACCTCGCACAGTGTCTGTTGGGACATTATCAACGGGGCCTGGGTTTTCTATGTCAAACTGGTCCAGTAGCTGATTTTTTCAAGATAAACGATGCTGTGCTTCAATGGTTAAATTGCCTGGACATCAGCATTTGAACATAGATCTTTTTAACATTTTTATTTTATTGTGTTTTATTAATCTAGGGGAAACGTTAGTATATAATGCTAGTCCATGTATGATATGCCATATACTAAATAAAATAAAATAAAATAAATAAACTGCTGCATCTATGGATAGAGGACTGATTTACCAGCTCTAAAATAAGCATTCAGTGTGATGATAGCATGAGTATTTCTGAATTGAGCATGAAATGAGAGATTTGATCTTACACACCTAAAACTCTGTGGGGAACTGCTGCAATGCCTGTAATGGGGCCACTGTTCTCAGGGTCTCTTGCAATTGTGTTTTTGGGCAGGTGTCGTCCTGTTTGCCGGTCTTGTCTCGCTTGCTTTTCAGCAGTGACTCAGACTTGCTGGCAGATGCCTGCTGGGCACTTTCCTATCTGTCGGATGGACCCAATGAGAAAATCCAGGCGGTCATAGATTCAGGAGTGTGCCGGCGACTGGTAGAATTGCTAATGTAAGTGTAAAAGTGCTACATTATCACTTATTGAGTAATTTATTAAATTCACATATGCCACAAATAATGGTTTGCAAACTACTCTGGCTGTGTTCATTTTGTGAAGTCAGATATGAAGAGGACAAATGCTAATCTGTGCCGAGGCAGTTTCCTTTCTTTTAAACTGGGGGATTTAAAAACGGGGTTCAGCCAGTTCATAAGTGGGGAGGGGATGGTGAGAACGCACATCACGCGCAAAGGATTGCTGCAATCTGCCATTGCGATAGAACAGCGCGGGTGTCCCTACTGTCTTCCTGCACTCCCATCTCCAGTGGAATAAATAGGGGCTGAGTGAACTGAGGTGCATTTGGGAGAGCTTGAGGGAAGATGTGAGCTGGAGGGGATGCACTTAAAGTCCCAGCTTAACCCATCCTGAGTCTAGTGTGTTCCAAGTAGGTGGGATTGTATAAATCCCAGCACATCGAAACAGCAGCTTGAATCCACCCAAAGAACCAGGATGGGGAAGCTGCTTTAAGGTAGTAATGATCTGGTGTGTGCAGGTCCAGCTTTCTGTAAGTTGACTTTGACTGGTTGCTTTGCGACCATTCAAGTTACAATTGACCCCCAAAAGGAGGCTTACAACCTGGATTCAAAGTGTTCCATTTTTGAAGGTTTTCAAGAGAAGCTTGGACAGCCATTTGTCCAGGATAGTATAAAGTCTCCTACATTGGGCAGAGGCTTGGACTAGAAGACCCTCAAGGTGCCCTCCAGTCCTGTGAGTCGATTCTGACAGACAGAGCCCTGGCCCTGGTTATGTCCAGACTCTGGGCATTCGGCAACATAGCTGCATATATGGCATTTGCATGTCCCATGGTCACATGAACCGCATTTTATGATGGTTTTGCTGAAAACCTTTTGGCAAAACATATCCATAGTGAACCATCGGTTGTAATGGCAATCTCCATTATGATGTTCTGTCAAGGACTCCCTGAATTCCAGAGAATCTGGAGCTTACAGCTATTATTTGACATGGGAACCTTGACTGTGGTGCTCCAGACCTTGGCCTGGCCTGAACATTTTAATGAAAGCAGGGACTGTGTAATGTGCCCTGGTCATATAAGGCAGGTGCATGGCCCCTGACCTTCCAGATGCTGTTGAGCCACCTAAGCCAGCAGCCCGGAGGAGCATGTAGTGGATTGCAGCTGAATAATATTTAGGGTCTTCCTTGATTCTCCCACTGGCCTCTATGGGGTTTCCTGGATTGCATCCTGGTTTTGTTCAAATAGACTTTGCTTTGATTCTTGATGAATAAGAGAGACTAAACTTAAGGAACGTTGAGTGTGTTGTTGTCTTCTTCTGCACACAGGCACAGCGATTACAAGGTGGCTTCCCCAGCTTTGAGAGCAGTTGGCAACATTGTGACGGGGGATGATATCCAAACCCAGGTGATGGGAGGGAGGCTTGTGTAGCCCACTGCAGGCTCCCCCCCCCCCTGGAGGCCCCTGAGCCTGTTTCCTAAATCTTCCGTTGAAATATCTACCACCAATCTGGGGAAATCAAGCTCCAGGACTTTTGATTCCAGTCAATAATCAGAGAGGTTGTGGAATCTGGCTGTGATACTGGCAGTTGGTACTCAAACTATGATTTAAAGCAGAGACTGGCTTAATGTCAGGGGCAGTAATTACTCATTGATGTGTGGGGAACACTAAATTTGTTTTTGTTGATGCAATTCACTGACGGCTAGGAATTACTTTCTTTTCTGCTATCTTTTTATTTGGGTATTTCTATTTTTGCATCTTCTTGTTCTACTTATAATGCTAACAGCAAGGGCTTAGGAGAATAAGTGGATCTTTGGGTCTGTCATGAAAATTACCACACATACACAGTTATCTTGACACTCCTCAGATGTTAGTCTTATTTGGTCTCATAATCAAGGGACCATGACTGATGGGAACATGTTAAGCAGCTTCATACAAGTCCTTCAGATGGCACCTCATGAGCAAGCCCTGGTCTGATTTGGGAAGGTAGTTTTCCAAATTTTCTCCTGATTAAACTCTCCCTGCTGCTTTCTTTAGAGTACTGAAAAATCTCTTGAGACCGGCTGACCTTTAGCTTAGGTTTGCTCTAGTTCAGCATTCCTGTATCTGTAGCCAAATTATGATCCTCTCTGCTATTGTATTGTAATAGTTTAATAGGGCTGTTTCCTATGAGATGGGTGTAATTAATCAATCAATGGATGGAGGAGGAGGGGAAATGGTGCCTAGAAGATGAGAGCAGGGGCAGGCCCCAGGGGCTTAACGGTCAAAGGAAAAAATGCAGGAAGGGCCCACCCTGATGCATTAGGTGGTTAAAAGTGGCTCTGGGAAATTTTTATCTTCAGACTTGCAAGATTCTGCTAATGTAGCCTTACAGCAAAGTAGAATGAGCTCATGCTTCCTGTCTGGTTTATCCAACAGGAGGGCTGACGTCAGTCTTGCTTCCCTCATCCCTGCTTGATCCTTTAGGGTGGATACATCCTAAATTTCTTCCTCTGGCTATTAATCCATTGGGGGGGGGCACCCTCTCTTGTCTAATTGTCTCTTAGGGAGCATTTCTTCCCCTCTTTCCCCCAGATCACCCACCCATTTTGTTACATGGAGGTAGGCAGAAGTTTTGAAACAGAGCGCTTATTTGCTTTTCCTTTCTAGGTGATCCTAAATTGTTCAGCTTTGCCTTGTCTCCTTCATCTGCTTAGCAGCCCCAAAGAGTCCATCCGGAAAGAAGCTTGTTGGACCATCTCCAATGTGACAGCAGGGAACAGAGCTCAGATACAGGTAATAAGCCAACGGAAGTAACACTCTTAAGGCATAAATGACTGGACTTATTGGACTCACTTCCCCCCCCCCTCCCAAAGGTGTGATCTTACATATGGGAAACATTGAGCTGGAGTTTCTACATTTCTGACTAATTTTCCAGCCGGGCCAAATCATTTTCCTTGTTACGAATCCCTCCAGGAACATCAACTCTCTTACGCGGCTTTTTGTCACTTGCAAAAACACAAACCTTATCTAGCAATCTTTCAGTTAATCGGGTGATTTGTATTTCAACCTTCACCAATTTGGTAGCCTTCCCAATAGTTAGGTTGAACTTCAGAATTCTCAGCAATGCTAGACTTGTTGGAGAATTCTGGGGATTGAGGACCACACCTCTGGAAGTCTATCTAGCTCAGGAAAGTCTTCTTTAATGCTGCCCAACCTTGCTTATATTCCTCCAAGGGGATAGAAAAAGATTATGCGGTAAGCTATTTAATCGTATTGAGCAATCTCTTCTGCAAGAAACCTACTGCTTTTAACCTCCGATCCAGCCACCAATATACTGGTATAGTCCTTTTTCAGCCTTCTTGAAACCATATTAAGCAGACCCCCACAGTCATTAAGCAAACCTGTTCATCTGAACGGGCAAGGTTTTTTTTGCAGAAACCAGCAAAAAACATAGTGAATCACAGTCACGTGACTGTGGAATGCCATAACTGGTCGTGAAGCTGACTTGGCTGACATGCAGTCATGTGACTGCAGGGGTGGTCGTGCAGCCAAGACCACTTTATGGGCCATAAAGCATCTGTGCGGTGGTTATCATAACTTCCAGTGGTCATAAAACAACTCATCATTAAGTGAGGACTATCTGTACTGCTGCTCTGTCCTCACCTGCTCCAAATGATTGGGGGTTGGGCCCAATGCTCAGCCTCTGGCTAACCCTGTCCTGCCTCTGGCCCTGCAGGCAGTCATAGACGCAAACATCTTCCCAGTGTTAATTGAGATCCTGCAGAAGGCAGAATTCCGCACCAGGAAAGAAGCGGCCTGGGCCATCACAAACGCCACCTCAGGAGGAACACCAGAGCAGATTAAGTAAGGAGTAACTTTAACTTTAGAGTTTGGGCGGGAGGCATTGTTTGTAATTGTGCTTCTCTCTTATTAACAGGTCTGTGAGACCAAATTTTTTTAAAGAACCTGTGGAGTTCATGGGGGTAACCCTTGCCAATGTAATGTTCTTAGCACATACAAGTTTCACTCTGTTTCCCATTTTTAAATTTATTTATTTTTAAATAAAAAATCAAGAACTGGATACCTGGATAAAATGAGATAACCCAACATTAGTTGTTTATCTAAGAAGCTTCCATTCATTAATTTTTATTTTTTTATTAAATTTATTTGCTCCCCATCTTGTCACAAGGCGACTCTGGGCAGGTGACAGCATTAAAATTGTGAATAAGGAATGAGAGACATTAAAGGTAAGGCATTCTTCCTCACTATCTTGTCAGCTGAGAAGAAAACTAACCAAAGGTATAATAAAAGCCTGGCAAGAAAGTTGTGTTCTTGAGGTATGCGGCTATATAAACCAAGAAGAAAGGAAGGAAGAAGGAAGATTTCCTCCCCCATATCATTTCCCCTTTATAACTAATGGAGGATTTGGTTTTGATGATGAGGCAAAAGCTGGGTATCCTAGTGGGCCACCACTTTAGTACTGCAACTGCCAGAAAGGCCAACCGAAAGCATCAAGAGCCTGAGAATAGTGATAGTACCACTTTATATTGCACTATTGAGGCCACGCTTGGAATGCTGCATCCAGTTCTGCTCACCAAGATACAAAATAAGGTCTTGAGACCATAGAAAGAGTGCAGAGAAGAGCCACAAAGTTGATAAGGGGTCTGGAGGCTGAACTGTAGAATGAACGTTTAAGAGAACTAGGTACATCTAGTCTAACAAAGGAAAGAATCAAGGGTGACCCGATAGCTTCTTCCGGGACTTGAGGGGCTATCACAGAGGAGAGGGGGTTGGCTTACAGTATTCTCCAAAGCACCAGAGGACAGGACAAGAAGCAATGGGCGCATGCTTGTTAAAGAGAGATCCAATCTAGAACCAAAAAGAAATTTCCTGACAGTAATAACAATTAATTAATGGAACTTGTGGGTGCTCCATTGCTGGAGATTTTCAAGAAAAAATTTGGACAACCATTTGTCTGGGGTAATTTAAGGTCTCCTGCCTTGGGTAGGGGGTTGGACTGGAAGACCTGCAAGGTCCCTTCCAGCCCTAGGATTCTATGTCATGCACTTCATAGCATGTGGATTTTATGGTTCTTACTATTTTAATAATGAGAGCTGATGATTTGTCCTTGTTTACAGGATTACAGAGTTATTTGCTGCTCATAAACAACACCACACAAACAACAACAACGAATTATATGCATCCTAATACTTTATTTTCCTCTTACTTTTTGTTAACTTTAGGAGTCTGAGCTCGAATTTCAGAAGAGGAACTGGGGAAGAGGGCATGTCTTCCCAGCAAGTAAATTATTCTACAAGAACGTTAAATTTTATCAGTAATTTTAGTCTTCTGGATTTTTTTGCTTTGTTTCCAGATACTTAGTAAACCTGGGCTGCATTAAACCCCTGTGCGATCTTTTGACCGTCATGGACGCTAAGATAGTTCAGGTGGCCCTGAATGGCCTGGAGAACATTTTGCGGCTGGGAGAGCAGGAGGCCAAGCAGAGTGGCACTGGTCTCAACCCCTACTGCAGCCTCATTGAGGAAGCTTACGGTGAGGGCTGAGTCTCGGACATGTGCTGTGGCTATTTGCAAACGAAGGCTCTCAGTTGAGGCTCCCCTTTGAGGAACTCCTTCCCATGGAGGGTGTCCCTAATGCCCTGAGGTTGCCTTTCCAGTGTCAAGTTAAATTTTAATTTTTCAAATTGATAAAAAAAAGCTTTGCAGTGTATTATTGGGTAGCACCTGACTTCACGTCTGTCTCCTCCCATGTTCCCAACCCTCAATGTTTAATAGAGATGATCCTCTACCCCTTAGGCCAGTAGTCCCCTACCTATCCGGCTTGGTGGACCGGCAGGGGCAGGGCAGAGATAGTTCAGTGCGAGTGGCAGATTCATCTGTGAACGCACACAACTCCATTTGCACCAATGGGTGTGCATGCCTGCCACTCATGCAAAAGCTTTCAAGGCTTGCCTGCACTTGATGGGTCAGTTGTGTAAGCCGCCTGAAATATGATGGGGGATTCCATGTAAACGATGTCTTTCTCCTTCAGGCCTGGATAAAATAGAGTTTCTCCAGAGCCACGAAAACCAAGAGATCTACCAGAAGGCCTTCGACCTGTACGAGCACTACTTTGGCATTGAGGACGATGACTCCACTCTGGCCCCCCAAGTGGATGAAGCTCAGCAGCAGTTCATTTTCCAGCAGCCCGAGGCCCCCATGGAAGGCTTCCAGCTATAACCAGTGTGCGGAGTCGAGGGGAAGAAGACCCTCCCTTTGATGGAAAGTCAACTGCCGAGAGCCTTCCCACCCCCAGCCTCATTTCCTTCTCTGTCACGCGGAAGGCAACCTTGCCTGCTCCACCCTCTGCCAAGCAGCTTTCTCCTTTGTGACACACAGCAGCATCAGTTGACTCTTTTCTGGAGAGGAGATACACTTACACACTATGTTTCTTCCCATCTTTTGTGCTGCACGAGTGTGTCAAAAAAGCAGGTGCTGAAGTGGATGGAGGAGGGAGGTGTAAATGTCTTTTAGTTTGTGGTTTTCCTCCAGGTTTCTTTTTCTTTTGTGGTGTAATATTTTTTTCTCCTCCGATGAGATGAGATTTTTCTCTTGGGTACTTGAGAGGTGCCTTTTCCCCTCACTGGGAGAAGGCAAGATAACCTGAATTGTAACCAAGGAATCTAATCTGGATGCTTGGATTCAACTATTTAAAACAATTTGCACATGTTAATTTTTATTAGAGACTTTTCTTAATTTGCCAAATACACCACTTTGGCCCATATGGGGTCTTTTTTGGGGGGGGAGGGGAATCCTCTTGCCAAACAGCACCTTTTGAGGGAATTGGGCCAAGTTGCTGCTGTTTTTGTCCCTCTCCTCTACTTACATAGATCTAAAAAAGAAAAGAAAGAAACTCTGCCCAGAGATGCAGGCTGAATATCAGGTTTTGGGAAGGCTTCCCCTGTCAGGTGGGGAGAGTAATTTAAAGATTCAAACGAGCAACAGCTCCTGAGGCTCCAGTCTTAAGGGGAAGGCACAGAAAAATAACTCAAAAGCACAGCTGCCTTTTTAGGTGGGCTTAACATTTGCTACTGACTGAAGTGAACTGGGAGAAGAAACCCCCTGTGCATCTTTACTTGAAGAAACAAAGTTGCAAAACTCATTGGAGCCTTTTGGTTTGTGCCATTTTTTTTAAATTTTCTTTCTCTTGGACCACTGGGGTGGGGGCGACTTGGGCATGGTGGAGCTGGGGGGGGGGTTATCATCTGCTCTCCATGCCACCCGTCCCATGGCCTGTGTCTTTCAGAATTACCTCCTGCTCACAACTGTATCGTCTACATTTACTTCAAAATGAAGAAGTCAAAGCTCTGTATTTTTTATATATTATATATACATGTAGACTTTGTCTCATTTGGTCTGGGGAGGTGGGGGGGGGGCTGATCCTCCGGAGTGCTGATAGAGAGGATGATGTGGGGCAGGCCGGCCTAGAGAGTTGGCTATACAGAGGTCACCACAGCTACAATTCTCTCGGGTCCCCCTCTTTGCCTGTTGCACGAGCGACCCAATTCAGAGAATGGGCTTTCGTTGGAGACCAATTGGGCCCTGGCTGATTCCTCCTTCCAGAGAGAAGCCCCTGGCTGAGAGGTTCCTTCGGGGGTCTTAAGGAAAGTTCAGAGGGTGGGCAGAGCCCCTTCCTTGCTCCCCCTCCTGGGAAGAAGGTTCTCAAAGCCTTCAAGAGCAGAGATTCAGGCAGGGGTGAAGTCAGATGTGAAACCCTTGGGCTGTATTTTGTAATAGAGGTTTGCTTTTCATTGTTTAAAAAAATGCCAAGGAAATTTAATAAACTTCATCTCTGCATTCAGTGAGTGCAATCCACACGCATGTGGACTGGAGCATGTGTTTTTTTTCTTGCAGCCATGTCACAATTGCCATTCCTGGAATCAATTTTCAATTTGTCAATTTTAATAAATTTGTATGCCACCCAATCCCGGAGGACTCTGGCGGCTTACATAAAAGACAGTTTAAAAAAGAAGATATTAAAAATTTTAAATATAAGACAGAACAAATTAAAACAGGACACAACATGCACTCGATCTTAGTGGGGCTGAAGGTCAATCAAGATCAGCAGCCCCAGGCCTGCTGGAACAACCAGGTCTTAACAGACTTTCGGAAGGCCGAGAGAGTGGGGGGGGGTCTGGATTTCAGGGGGCAGTTCGTTCCAGAGGGCCGAAGCAGCTACAGAGAAGGCCCTCTTCCAAGGAGCCACCAGCCGGCATTGTGCAGTCAATGGTACCCGGAGAAAGCC